AATAAAACATATATTATATATATTTAAAATACTGGGTATAATTTTAAAAACATACTTTGGTGTGTGAAATATATAAAGGTCCTTGAAAGTAAACTAAATTCATGTCATTCTATCAAGTACGTTTATTCTTGAACAAGTTTGAATCCAGGGTATAAAAGAGTGTGCCTCCTCCCCTGTTGTGAAATTTAACAGAGATGCACTTTTTGCATCTATTTAAAAGGGATTCCCCATCTGAGAATTTTTCCAACTCTTCATTGCCTTCCAACAGCTTCTTCTCTTAACCATCTATTTTTAAACACGGACTAGAAAGCAAGGGACCTGAATTGGGTCTCAGTTTTGACACTATCTTGCAATGGGTTATTTTTATCCTGGTGTAAGAAAAAAAACATTCCTAGATCAATGATTTGAGATTCTTTCATATTTGGGTTTTTGAAAAGCATACCTTCTTGGGAAATTTTAATTTATATGATTTTTTTTTGGGGGGGGGGACAGAAAAGCAAATTATACTTGGGAGGCACTGAGAGCTTATTGAGAGCTATATGTGTGGTATGTAGAACAAGAAAGATACAATTCAGAACACCTACACTCACACTTACACACTTAATGACTGCGTTCCTGTGAAAAAGATAAATGCTACCATTTCCACTATTGGTAAACCAGGGAGTTGATATTATCTCTAAAAAACATATTTCTTAACTGTATTTCTGTTGGGATTAATTGGTATAATTAAGACTTGAATGGTCTGAAATATTTCAGTAACCCACGGTGAGCATGCTTTCTTTTATCTGAGAATGTAGTTTTATTTCATCTGAAATTGTTTTCTATAATTTTTCCCACTGCACATAAATGATCTTCATTATATTTATGGATGTACTCACTCATCAACCTGGGGACCATAACTACACTTCACAGAAGTAAGAGAAACCATAATTCTCTCCTGGCACCGAGAGAATATCGATGGGTATTCTAAATGAGGAACTATTTACTTTTTATTACTATAATAATTTTTTTAATAATTTCCACAATTTGAAACGTGATTAGAATTCCTCTGGTAGTTGAAAGCTGGCAACACGATCTAATATTTTTAACATATGAGCTGCTATTTGCAAGAGTGCTTCAAAATTTAAAATTATTCATTATTCATGTGATATTGTCTATGATAAATTAAGCTAAACCAGTGACAGTGAAATTTTATATCACAATTTACTTTAACTAATTTTTAAAAAATATTTTTATGTGTTCTTATTGATTTCAGAGAGAGGAAGGGAGAGGGACAGAGAGATAGAAACATTAATGATGAAAGAGAATCATCAGCTGCCTCCTGCACGTCCCCTACTGGGGATCAGCCCACTACCTGGGCATGTGCTCTGACCAGGAATCAAACCATGACCTCCTGGTTGATGAGTTGACACTCAACCACTGAGCCACACTGGCTTGGCTTTAACTCGTTTTTGAGTCCTTGGTTGATCATTGTTTTATATGAGGGTTTTGTTTGTTTTTGTTTTTGGTTTTTTTTGGCCATCCTTTTCCTCTCTCAGATGTAAAATAACATTTTTCCTCTTTGTTAGTTACCGGGTTGTTCATTTTGTTTTTAACATTCAGGGTCTTTCTTGTATTTCTTTGTAGTCTGTTCAGTGGAGCAGAAAATATGTCTCAGTTTCAATTTCTCTTTTGTTCCCACAACATCCACCCCCCCCCCGCCCCCCGCCCTCCAGTACTGAAGTGGAAAAATAATTTCCCCTCTTGCTCCATGCACAGATTCAAAGTCCTGTTTTTCACGATGTTGTTCCAAACAGCAAATTTTCTAACCCACAAGAAAAACACACCAAAGCACTAACTTGGAACTCCACAAGGTCTGAGAACAATTGGAAATAATTTCCCACAAGCGGGATCAGCCCTTGGCTGTTCATTGGCCGTGCTGAGCAGAGAGAGGCACATGGAAACCAGCGAGGGCACCGACCTGCTAGCAGATGCAGAGGTGGCCCAGCTCCGCAGCCAGAGGCTGCTGTTGTGGAGCATGGCAGGCAAACCAAAGAAACTAAAAGGCAAGTAGCAAACAATTCAGTAGGCCAAGCCAGGGATCTGGACGCCTCCCAAGGCTCCTCCTCTCCTCCTTCCCTGCGTGAGTCACTGTTCCAGTCTGTCCACACCCATTCAGCCTTCTTCCGTAGGCCGCCACCCCACACTTCAGTCCCCCTCAAGCTGTTGCCACAGGATCTTTCTGAAAGGCAAGTCCAAACTCCACATATCTCCTTGCTGTGTCAACTCTTCTAGTTCATCGCAGTTCTCAGAGTGAAGTTGAGATTCCTTGGCCAAAGGCAGACCTGCTCTTAGGTCATCCGCCACCCCCCAGCTCTTATCCTCCTCTTCCAACAGGCAGCCTGCTGTACTGGCCATGCTCCTTTCTCCATTTGACCAGGCCCCAGCCCCTTTTTCATCTTGCGAATTTCTACACACCTGTTTTTGTTTTTGTTTCTTTAAATCCTCACCTGCCTGAGGGTATTTTTCCATTGATTTTTAGAGAGTGGAAGAGAGAGGGAAAGACAGAGAGAAATATTGATGTGAGAGAAACACATCAGTTGGTTGCCTCCTGTACATAGCTCTGACCAGGGCCTGGCCAGGAGGATCCTGCAACTGAGGTACGTGCCCTTGACCAGAATCGAACCCAGGACCTTTCAGTCTACACGCCGACGCTCTATCTAGTGAGCCAAAACAGCTAGGGCTCTACTCACTGTTTAAAGTACCCATTAAAGTAACTTCTCAGGAGCCTGCTGGGTTTGTCTCTTCCCCAGTAGAGGTATTATCCTTGAGGGTAGGGACCGACTCTGTCTTATCATCCATTCTGGCATCTCTGGCATAGCGGGCACCATAGTTGTTGAAATAAATGCGGAACGAGAAGGAAGTCCTTGTAGCTATTAATTGGGAGGTAGGGAATGTCCATCCAGAGTCTCTGAGAAATTGCCAGTGTCCTTTTTAATTTGCTTCAACTGTGTGTGCACTTGGGTAGATTTTAATCATGAACACCGAGAAGGGGCACCATTTAATTAATTAACGAATTAGTTCTGGAAGGGAGCAGTGTGCAGTATTAACTCGGTGTTTTGTGGACCTAGCTAAGGGCCGAGAATTCAAGCTCTGTACTAATGCCTCAGGAAGTATTTCTGTACTTGAGCACATTTCATGTTTTTTCCTGCCCCTTCTTCAGCTGGTCCCACCCTCTGTAACACAACTTAACAGTAAGTTGTAGGAAGAACATGGAACCATATCTACCATCTGGTTCCAAATTGTGTCCAAACATGAAGCAAATGTTTTCAATTAGCATCATTGAACAAGTTATCAACATTCCTTAAATCCAAAGAAAATTCTACCCCCCCAAATTTCCATCACTTTATCACACCACGTTAAGTCTAGGATTCTTTCCATTCAAAGTGAAGCCAAGTTACATCTTATAACACCCAGTGAATTATGATTTGGGGCTGCGGTTTCTTTTGCGCCAACAACAATATGACTTATTTGCCTTGGGATAATCCAGTATTTCAGAAAATGATATTTTATTTATTAAGAGGGTTGGGGGGGAGGGGAGGGAAGACTGCTTTCTATCAATCAAATAATTCGGAGTGGGCAAGAAAGGGGCTTTTTTTACATTCCAAAAATTATTTACAAACTAGATGGGAAGCTAGCCTGTGTTTGTGCTTGTGTGACCATCCGCCCGACTGAGGAATTCCAAAACTGCGGACACCCTGTTACTTGAGAAAGATACTCATCGGAGGTCGGTCTTGCAGATGTTTTTCCCGCCCGTGAGCCATCCAGGTTCAAACAAACCGTGTGGTGCCTTTTTCAGGCGGCAGCCCCCTCCGATCCCACCGCCGGATCCTCCTCGGATTCTCACCTTCAGCCTCACCTTGCGGGCTCCCTTACAAAGCCCCCTCCGTCGGGCGCCTGCAGCACGCACACCGATGCGTCTGCCCAGGAGGAGCCGAAAGTGCTAGGAACGCGCCCCGTGGGCACCCGGGCTGGGAGGTTATCATGTGGGACGTGTAAGATGGAAGATACCACCGGGCGGCGGCGGGGATGCACCTCGCCCGCGCCGGCTGGGGTTCCCTACCGCTCTCCGCGCCCACCCGCGAGTGGCCACCACCCCCCACTGCGGACTCGGCTGGGTTGAGGGGCGCCCGATCGGCCCGGGGGGAGAGCGGGGCGGGCGGCGGAAAGTTCCAGCCTTTTGCCCGCGCCGCGTGCGTTCCGGGCCCGGCGAGTCCGCCCCGGGCTTCCTGGTGGGGCTGGGCGGGCGGGCGGGGGAGGGGCCGCGCAGCAGCGGCGGAAACCCGAGCTCGGCGATAAGAGGCTGCACGGCGACATGCAACAGTCTTTTCACTGCAGCTGAATGACTTGTGGCGCTCACCATGCTCCCGTGACCGGGCGCTGACAAGTTCCATTTGCCATCGCGCGGGCCTCTCGGAAGCCGGACTCCCACAATGCCCTGGGCACTCGGTCGGCAGTCGGGCTGCTGGTGAAAAAAACATGTGAGAGGTAAGTTTCCATGTCCGCCGTCTGCCTGCGCTGCCGGCCGGGCGGCTCGGCATTGTCTGGGCGCTGCCGGGGCTGGACGCGGCTGGAGGAGGGAGGGAGGGGAGGCTCCGGGCTGCGGCTCGCGGCGGCGGGCACCGGCTCGCCCGGGCTGCTCCCCGATCGCACCATCGGGGGCTGGAGGGGGGGAATCGGGAGGTCGCAGATGCAGCCCGGCTTCCGCAGCCCCGTCCCCGGGCAATGCGGACACTGTCAGAGCGCAGGCAGCTTCCAACTTGGCAGCCGAGAGAGAGAGAGAGAGAGAGAGAGAGAGAGAGAGAGAGAGAGAGAATATAAACAGGTGCGTGCAAGTGTACTTGCAACTTAATGACCTTCGTGGGGTGGGGGGGAGGCGGGGGGAGCGAGCCCATCCGATGGGAGCCACCGTTTCTCCCCGGAGACCCCGCATCCCTGTCCCTGGGGCTGCCCTCCAGCCCGGCTTGCATCTGGGCCGAATATGTGCACGCAAAGGTTAATTCTCTGCCTGCTCCCCATAAATTACGCATGACATGTTTAGCTGGGCTTCCTTATATGGAGAGCGCCGTATTTCAGGCCAGTTTGCCTTTTTGCCAAGTTTACAGGGCGGAAGACGCCCTGCCCGAGAGGGCGCCTACCCCCCGCCCCCCACCGTTTTGTGGTGCGTCACTCAAAGCGGTAAGAAAAGTAAGTGCAGGCGCCGTGCTCTCTGGGTGGAGCCGCCGCTGGTTGATTGAATTGTTTCCTTGAGAGGGTGAAAGGTAGGAAAAGTAGTTAGTACTTGGGCTCAGGTTTTTAGACAAAAGCAGGACAAATATGTACAGCGCTCCCCCTTCCCCCGTTTTTCTTTCTTTTTCTTTTCTTTTCTTTCTTTCTTTTTTTTTTTTAACGGAGCCGGAATCTGTTATTGGTAGTCATGTGTCATGTGAGAATACTTTGATTCCGGAGCCTGTAACATGAGCAGGTATATATGGTGGAGCTGACGCTTGCCCCGCACACAGCACTTTGCAACTCCAGGGCTGCTGCCAGAAGAGCAATTGTGTTTCTAAGTCTCTCCCGGGCCGGGAGCCTTAGGCAGCTGCCGTCCGTGTGTCTGTGACGTGTTTCCGTGGAGTGGGCTTCCCTAGGGTTCAGGGTGAGCCAGGAGCTGCCCGCAAGGTTATTGCCACTGCCTCGGCCCTGCGTGCCCACCGGCGCAGGCAAAGCGCTAGCCAATGGCAGGGTAAACTCTGCCATCTTCTGAGGGATTGCTTCAACAAATTCATGCACCGAGAGGGAAGTCGTGATGAGCGCCTCTGGTTTTGCAGGCCCTCTGCAGCGCGCTTTGAAATACTACACCGGTGCGCACGGGGTTCCTCCCTCCCGAGGGGGTTTGAACACGGTGCCCGTTTATACACAGGGGGCATTTATCGCCCAACTGTTCTACACCAGCCTGAGTGACCCCCACTCCTTGTTATCTCCGCGTGGGTGCCTGAGAGCGTTGGTGTGTCTCCTTGCCTCGTTGAGATAAAACATTATCAGCCAGACAAGTTAAAATGAAAGTTAAGGAGCGTAGAATCCGTCCGAAGAGTATTGAGCTCAAAATGTAGAATGTCTGAGGGGTAGTTACAGCCAGAGACGCTGAATACCATGATTTGGTGGCCCAAGAAAGCGCATCGTTGTCACTTGTGTCTTTGCTGTATTAGAGTTGGTGGCAAGTACAGCTCAAAACTGTTTTTATGAGGAACCTACAGTGGTCTGATTTTTGTCTGTGTTCTGTATTTGCATGGGAGTGGACGTTTGTTTGATGACTGTTAGAACTTCTCACAAGATGTAGACACAGTTTTTCGTTTTGTTTGTTTAATGGGGGGGGGGGCGGTGGTTTCCTCTTTGAGGACTACAAAAGTTGCCTTTTGTGCTTGAGGGAACAGGTTGGGTCAGCACCACAAAACCTGTTCACCCATCCATCCGCCTGTAATTACAGTGTCATCCAAGACATAATCATCAGGTCTTATTATTACAGAGAGACCCAGAAAAGCTCACATGTGCTCAGTTTAGTTTTCCTCCTCGTGTGACTAAGAACAAACTCGCGTGCAGACACACATCAAGTGTGATGCTCCTCTCTGCAGCTATGCCAACAGAGAATCCAAAATGGTTTATGGTTTGAGATATTATTGCGTGTGTTTACATTGCCACATTGGAGGCAAACTCCAAGTTGAATTAATTGCATCTTGATTCCAACATTCTGTTTTCTTCTGGGCACAGAATTCCTATGCAATGAAATACTGGATTCTGTTCCAGAAAAAGAACAGAATATCCCAAGGTATCTCCTGGGGGAGAAGGGGGAGGCGGGGAGGAGGGCAAAGTGTAAAACTGTATTTCTCATTGAGGAAGGGTGTGTTGCTTCATTATATAAAATTTCCTATCCTCCCTGTAAGCAAAACCAAACTGTCCTTGCATTTATCATTGTCACCATACATTAGGCCTGTGTTGGATGTATCTATTTATGGAAACAGAGAGAGAATAGCCCAGCTGCACCTTCTGGCTGGCTGCTTTGTTAGAAGATGCTCGGATTAGAGTTTATCTTAGATCTTGGTTTAGAAGAAGCTGAAAAGAATAGGTGGTGGGGTTTCCTATACTCTAAGAAAGAGAGTATGGGCAGTAGATATGTGGACCTGGGGAGTGAAAGGAGGAAGTGAGAGACATTAATTTAAATGTTTGGCTCAGTATATAAAATCCTAACAGCAGTACCGATCATCCAGGATGTTACACAAGAAGATTTTAAAGTGTGTGGCCCGTTAGGCCAAAAAGCTTCATCTTACTGGCAGTCTCGAATGTCCAATATAGTAGCCACTGGCCGCTTATGGCTGTTGAGCACTTGAACAATGTGGCTGGTTTGGATTGAGATTTACTTTAAGTGTAAAATACATACTGGATTTTGAAAACATTGTACAAAGGGAAGGATGTAAAACATCCGATTGATATTTTTATATTGATCATAAATATGTTGCAGTGATAATATGTTGGATATATTTGTTCCAATAGAATATATTATCAGATAATTTCACCTGTGGTTTTGTTTTCTTTTAACTTTTTAAATGTGGCTATTAGAAAACTTAAAATAACAGATGTGGCTTGCATTACATTTCTGTTGGACAGTGCTGTTCTTGAATAAAGGCGGAGAGCAGTACTCTGGGAGAAAGCCTACAGAGCTTGCTGGTCAAAACACAATAAAATGAACTATTATTTTTTTTCAAGCTAACGCAGTTTAGTATATGTAGAAGTTCCTCATCATTCTTATCCATTGTAACCAAAATTTGAGAAAACACACCACCTAACATCTATTTTTATTTCCTCACAACTACTGTTTAGTTTAGAGATTTAATGGTGAGGTAGTAATAGCACAGAAAAGACTTATAATTAGGGGATGAGTGTTAACACCTCTCAAAGGCCAGAATAGAGTATGATTGCTACTTAGGAACATTTAGAGACACTATAGTTATCATTGTCCCAAAGTTACCAAACATGAACGAGTCTCTCAAATTTATTTTAGAAAAGAGCTTTCAGTAAATAACAATTATCTCCAAATGCTTAATATGTATTTTCCTTTGCTATGACTTTCTTGCCTTCGAAAATAAAAACACCAAATAAATCCAAACTCCTGACCAAAGGTTAACCAAAGATTAATGAATTCACGATGATGAGAAATTTGCATCTGAAGGGAAGATGGTATTGTTTGAAATGTTAGAAAGGTAAAAATAGGTTTCTGCGGCAATGTTATGGGCCTTGAAGAATTTCTATACACAGAGAGGTAGCTTTATAATTTGAACACGGCCTTGAAAAATCATCTGACTGGTAAACAAAGCACAATGGCATAGGTCCTGGAAGCATTCCTTTTAGATATTTTCATAACCGAAGTACATTTTGCCATGCACAGTGAGAGTTAGGCTGAAAAAAAAAAAGCAGTTCTTTTCTAACTGTATAAAGTATGCTTACTTTTATTTCCTTGAAGGATGCCAAAGATATAAAACAGGAAGGATATAGTGGGGTTTTTTGGGGCGTGTGTATGTGGGGAGCAGATTTTATTGGGAACCTCAGAAGAGTTGCCTTTGGCTGGTTGTCATCTTGAGTCTGTCTCCCACTATATAAGGCAGAGCTGCCATTAGTGTCGACACATGTTTGGAGCGTGAGGAAGCCAGGATCCTCATGAACACTGAAGATCATTTTTGATGAGTCATGACGCATGCTCACTAATGATTGGAGAATTAATAATTGCAAAGCAGAGGACTCAAGAAGAACTACTGATAGATGACATTTCATGTCTCCCGACATAGTTTGTATTTTTAGATTTGAAGTAGGGAAATTGATTTGTTTGCAGTATTTTTCATATTATAAAAACGTACATTCCTGTAAGCATTACATCTGTACCCTTGGGGAAACACTTAGCAAATACATGGTTACAGTTTTCTACATACTATTAATTAGGTTTTTTTATGATTCCGGTATATCTCTTTGAGATAATTATTCATGTTTAAAACTTATATTTGACACTGGATTTCCTATATCTGTAATAATGATACATTCACATTTTGTTTGTTTCAGCCTTATCTGATTTAAGAGAGCATTACTTTTACAGTGACCTTTCAGTGCTCTATGGGGATAGATAACTCTCATGGAAGTAGAAAGATAGTCTGGGGTGGGTGGTGGGAGTCAAGTTAAGTGACAGAAAGAATAGGAGGGCACAAGGCCTGCTGCGGGGGGAAAGTTGTAGGGAAAAGCTGGGAGCCATTGACTGAACTTGCCACACTCAAGTATTCTCCAACCCAAGACCCCTGTTGATATTTCTGCTTACTAAATTTTAGTTTCAAAATGCCTATGAAGAGATACATCCATTTCTATAAACACTACTAGAGGCCCGGTGCATGAATTTGTGCATGGGTGGGTCCCCACAGCCTGGCTGGCGATTGGGGCCGATCGGGACTGTCTCTCTCGCCGATGGGGGCCCAGGGCTGATCAGGGCGGGCTGGCAGGGGCCGGGGGAGGGACCGCAGGAGGTTGGCGGGCTGGCCAGGGAGAGGGGCTGCGGGAGGTTGGTTGGCCACGGGAGGTTGGCTGTGGGAGCGCACTGACCACCAGGGGACAGCTCCTGCGTTGAATGTCTGCCCCCTGGTGGTCAGCACGTGTCATAGCGACTGGTTAAACAGTCAGCCAGTGGTTTGGTTGTTAGGTCACTTAGGCTTTTATATATATAGATACTTATGTACATTTGTTTTGCAAGCCAGTCTTTGTTGCAGTGCAGGTATTACAAAAAAAGACCACCAGGGGATCATGTGTTTTGAAAAGTGCAGGACTGTATATATGTAAGAGTGACTCAATACTATTAACATTTTAAATTATTCTATCTTTATATATTTATTGTATTTCTGTCTATATCTTGAAAGGAGTAATAGACTTCAGTGTGGGGAGGGGCACAGACAACCTCACAATGTATAGATTTAACTTTACCAGGCCAGATCCGACTAGATGTCTAGCCTGCATAAAATCATTGACTCTTTGTTCCTTAATTTCTCCAACTCTGAAATTATAAACATAAGTAATTACTACTAGTAGAAGCTGCTACTTGTCATACATTTTTTTTTTTTTTTTTTTTTTTTTACAAAATATCTCATCTAATCTTTTTACAGCTGGAAAATAGGCCTTATGACCTTTATCTTAAAGATTAAGTAGCATGACTAGATAACACTTTTTGTCATTTGTAGAGCTATGAGTCTTATTTATTTTT